CTCATTACTCAATAAAAAAAGAAAGAAAAACTAAATTGAGCTGACTAAAAGGAAATTAAATGATGTTCTACCGTTTCAATCAATTCTGATTTAAGGGCTGTCGAGATTTACTCATTTAATTTGGTTTTAGCTCGGGAGTTGAATGTAAATTTGGATTTGGAGAAGGCCTTCTTAAAGTTTGCGCCCAGTTTTGGATTTTCTTCATGTTTCCTCTTCGGCGTTTCAATGCATGCGGTTCCTGAGTGATAAGCACTGTAGTTTTAGCTCCAGAAGACCGATTTCATCATATTGCCATTTATCCAGATATGCTAAGGTAAAACCTTTATCACAGTCCCTTTTTTTTCATAAAAAAATTCTTGAATTCTTTACCCATCTATTACGGGTATCTGGTTCTTTTCTGATTTTGAGTTAATTGGTTAATGATTTTTTTTTTCTCAAAGAAAAAAATACTTTCCTGGTGACAATTTCTTTATGGGCTTTTGGTGCGATGGGATTGGGCAATTGTAGTAGTTTGTTTGATTTGAGCTCTGTGGTGCTTTTCTAATTGTCAAGTTGAACTGGGATTTGGCTGCTGCATCTCACTAAGGAAAAACTGCTGCTTTTGTGAATTGGTTGTAGGAGCTTAGCTGAAATGATGAGTGTAAAATGTATATTTTATTGGCAATGAATTATCGGTGTTTGCAATAGTTTGTGATTATGTATAGGTGCAATTTGAGTGTTTTATGGTTCTCCATTAATATCTGAAGAAGTGAATGCCCCAATATATCCATAGGAGCAGAGAAAAAAAAAAGGTTCCTTAAGCTTTTGGAGCTTGCTACGTGAGTGATTTTGTGCCAAGAAAGTGGATAGGTTTAATTGGATGTGTGAGTTGGATTCTGGACCCTATTGGATTATTTACATGACTATACTTTATGAAAGTTTGCAGATCTCCTGATAGAGGTTATCTTGCTGAACTTTCCTCAAGAATCTCATTCTACAAACAAAGCCTGTCGTCTAACATAAGTTTCCATGTAATCTTTCTCAACCCTTCTGAAGTTTGGCACTCAATATTTGTGGTTTCCAGTAGAGTTAAGTTATAAAAATAAATGAGCTGTTGGCTGTGGCTGCTTTCTTTATTCACTCTTCGTCTTACTACAGAATAAGGCCTTTCTGTTTCTCTGTATCTTATCAAACTTCATGGAAATATCTACCTCAAATTTGTAGTGAAACACCCCCTATTATTGAAATTACTGGAATTGTAGTGCAAGAACAATGTAGTTTTTCTGATTATTGTAAAAGCTGACTAATAGAAATAAAAGTGGGATATTTTTTTCCAAGTTTCTTGTTGTATCACCACAGAGTGCTATTTGCTTTTCTTGCATATTCTACCTAATCTATATAATGGAATACACACACATCTGTGAACGTGATGCTACAAAATACAAGTTTAAGTCTCAAAATTTTCCATATTTTGTTAGTTCACTAGATTTTATCCAAAGGGAACTGTCATACTCACTCTCAGTACACCAAACTGAACTTAGAAAAGTTAACAAAATCCCATGATGTGGTGCTGATCAAGCAACTGCTGAAATGTTGATAAAATTTCTTTATGTTCAGATGTCTTCTGGTATACTCTCTCTCTCTCTCTCTCACACACACACACAGCATGTGTATGAGTGTTTGTGCTTGTGCATGTGCTATGCTTTGCAAACTCTTCCTTCATATCTGCTTTCAGTAAAAACTTTTTTCTTCCCATTTGTATTTGCCATCTGGTTTCTAATCTTTGTATTCATGTGTCGATGCATTCATGGAATCATTGTATCTGCATATTGATAAATCTCATCTTCTGCCATGTGATATTTATAGTGTTTGTGCTGGTTGGTTGTTTATTTGTCGCATTGTGGTGCTATAACGGACTCACAGCCATCTGTTAAGAGAAGTTTTGCCATTATATTCATCAGAGACTGCTTTCTTCTAAATTATTTGTGTCCTTTTAGTTATTCCACTGGGAACATTGTTTGGTTGCATCTCAGATACTGATATGAGCAGAGAAGAGTTAGGAAATGCTATAACTGTAAGAGGCAAACCAATAGCTCTAATGGTTGTGAAAGCAAATGGCCATAGGGATGATGAAGGAGAGTCAAAACTTGAACCTCACGTGGGGCTGGAGTTTGATTCAGCAGAAGATGCACAGGAATTTTATAATCTTTATGCCACACAAGTAGGTTTCAGAATCAGAATTGGCCAGCTTTATAGGTCCCGTGTTGATGGTTCTGTTATTTCTAGGAGATTTGTATGTTCAAAGGAGGGTTTTCAGACCAATTCAAGAACTGGTTGTCCTGCTTTCATAAGGGTGCAAAAGGCTGATTCTGGGAAATGGGTTCTTGCCAATATCAACAAGGAACATAACCATGAACTTGAACTTCCTGGTGAGATCTGCCCTTCGCGTATACAGAGGAAATCTCTTCCAAACCCCAGAACAACAGCTGTCATTTCTACTAGGACAGGAATTAGATCACATGAGGAAGAAGGTCCATCTGGTGTTGTTGATGCCAAACGACTCAAACATGATGAATTTAGAGGAGAACCAGCAGATGAACCATACAAAGGTCTTGAGTTCACTTCTGCTAATGAAGCATATCAGTTTTACTGCACGTTTGCAGCTAGTACAGGGTTCAGAGTTCGGATTGGTCAGTTATTCCGTTCTAAGCATGATGGGTCTATTACATCCCGAAGATTTGTCTGCTCAAAGGAAGGGCATCAGCACCCTTCTAGAGTAGGTTGTGGAGCATTTATGAGGATACAAAGACAAGAAACAGGAAGGTGGGTTGTTGACCGTCTTCAGAAGGAACACAATCATGAATTTGACACTGCAACTGATGCCAGTCAGAGAACAACTTCTGTGACAAAGGGATTTAGAGAAGAAGTAATCAGCGGGTTGGAAAATTTGGATCTAGTTGAAACAAATGGTGGTCTTAGTCTAGTTAAAAGAGGCCGAGAAAGTAATATTGGAAGTGATTGGTACAATGTACTTCTTGAATATTTTCAGTCTCGGCAAGCAGAAGACACAGGATTTTTCTATGCAGTGGAGATAGATAATGGCAAAGCTATGAGCATCTTCTGGGCTGATGCACGGTCTAGATTTTCCTGCACTCAGTTTGGGGATGCCATCGTATTTGATACGGGATACAGGAGGGGTAGTTATTCAATGCCATTTGCATCATTTGTTGGCGTTAATCACCACCGGCAGCCAGTACTTCTTGGCTGTGCTCTAATTGCTGATGAATCTGAGGAATCATTTACTTGGGTGTTTCAAGCATGGCTTAGGGCTATGTCTGGCCGGTGTCCTGTGTCAATAATAGCTGATCAGGACAAAGCAATTACATATTCCATTGCGAATATTTTTCCTGGGACACATCATCGGTTTTCTTCATGGCAAATGCTGGCCAAGGAACAAGAAAACCTGGGAGCACTGCTGTCCTTGAACTCTGAGTTCAAATATGAATTTGAGGCTTGTATTTCACAGAGTCAGACAGCTAGCGAATTTGATTCTGCATGGAATGTTCTAATTAATAACTATAATTTGAAAGAGAGCACTTGGTTGAAGGAAATGTACAGGATGCGTAAAAGTTGGGTTCCTTTGTACATAAAGGGCACGTTCTTTGCAGGTATCCCAGTGGATGGAAGCATAAAGTCTTACTTTGGTACAGTATTGACAGCACATACTCCTCTTAATGAATTTGTTATACGTTATGAGAAAGCAGTTGAACAGCGACGTGAAGATGAAAGAAAAGAAGATTTTAACTCCTTTAATTTGCAGGCAGTTTTGCACACAAAAGATCCCATAGAAGAGCAGTGTCGAAGGCTTTACACAATAATAATGTTCAAAGTCTTTCAGAAGGAGCTCTTAGAATGCTATAGCTATGCTGGAATAAAGATGAATGTTGAAGGTGCTATTAGCAGGTATATAGTGCAGAAGTGTGGCAATGGGGATGAAAGGAATACTGTTGCATTTAATGCTTCAAACCTTAACATCAGTTGCAGTTGTAAACTCTTCGAATTTGAAGGCGTGCTTTGTAGACATGCATTGAAGGTGTTCCAAATTATGAACATAAGGGAACTTCCATCTCGTTATGTCTTACATAGGTGGACCAAGAACGCAAAATATGGAATACTGCGTGATATTGATTCAGGTGGTGGCTCACAGGATCTCAAGGCATTGATGCTGTGGAGTTTGAGGGAAGAAGCCCGCAATTATATTGATGCTGGAGCAGCGTCGTTAGAAAGATATAAATTGGCCTTTGAGATCATGCAGGAGGGTAGGAGAAATCTCTGTTGGCAAAATTAGGATGTATCTCAGGCACAAGTCATTTTTCTTCTCTCTTCTACAGTTTAACTCCAAGATCAGATGACTGTAGTTCTGAATTCTGACGCTTATAATCAAATGTGCGGCAGGTTTTACTGGGCTTCAACTCATATAATTATAAAATTTTCCTCAGTATTTCCCTCATTTTTTCCAAGAATTGGAAGTGAAATGTTGTCTTGAATTTTGAAGTCAGCTGATTCATAACTGATGGTTGAGCACCATCTCAAAAGAAAAGGAGTTTCCCTGTAACATCCTCTGTTTCAGTTGCGTTTGATTTCCTGATCAAGGGCTCAAGGCATTGTAAGTGTCGATGTCTTTTCATTGATATCTTGTGCATATGTTTCTCGAATTATGTTTATTGATGGAGTTGAAACACAAGTTCTTGGACAAGGGGAACATGTAGTGCTTTTTTTTTTGGTAAGTAAAAGGGGAATCTAAAACCTCTCACTTATAATTCCTTCCTCGTCCCGAACCCACCCCATACTTGCCTTTGGCAAAGTACCTGCTCCTTGATAATTATTCGACGCTCATGAAATTTCACGCTTATTCTCATTATCTTAAAATCTAACATCATTCATCATTCGTTAAAACCGAAGTTAGTTGTCAATTCATGGTACATGCAACAAAACCAATTCCCATCCCAAGTAAGAATTTAGTTCGACGCAAAGACGCTACCACTTTTATTCTGATGGTCAAGAATTCATGTTCATCATAAAGAAAGAAAATTCAATTATCAAGAAATTATGTCCTTGGTTCTATAGCAGCGAAAAAATCACGATGCCTAGCAACAGAAAGAAGCACAAATCTGCATGGTTTCAAGGTAAAGGCAGTGACAATTGCTCTATGAAATGAACTTATTATAGTTTTCCTATTCATGTAAGGTCCGGTGTCGCAGCAAGTATATCGAGTGTAATTCCATCTTTAATTACGCCCCAACCAATGAGTCGCCAATGCCCTTGTATGCGGCGACTTAAGACCACCTTCTCTCCTAGACTCGTGCATACTGGTGCTTTGAGGCGTAATTTTGCATGCTTATCCTTCACTTTAAGAACTTCAGCCCCGGTTGCCATGGATGAAACGTTCAGCAGCAGAATTTCTCCCTTTATAAGACCACCAACTTTTCCCTGTGCCGTGCCATTCATTGTCACTCCTAAAAGTTTGCTCAAAAGATGTGTGTTTGCAATCTGAAAATGGATAATGTGCAACACAAGTGAGAGGTCCTACATCAGTGAATTGTATGAAAATTCTGAATCATTCTGATTAAGCTTGTTTCCTTTAAATCTGCTTACCTTGATTTCAGTATAAACTTCAGGTAGTGTCCCGACCTGACCAAGAACTTGACCAACCAACCGATCACTGCGTGACAGTGCAGGATCCATTGTTGTGCCAACCCCAATAAGGCCACCAGGGACAGCAATTTGAAGTTTATTCTGTTCAGAGTGAAGTGAAGCTACTCTGGTATAAATGGGACTACATCTCAAGTTGCCGCTGGCATCTTTCCCCAGAATCCCTGGACGGAGCTCAATAATTTGGTTTACCTTCAGAACACCCTGTACACAAGAAGATTTATAACATACTTGTAACAAATTACTGTGAAACTTAAGTCAGTTATTCATTCATTTAGTTTTTCCTCTCTTCCTTCGTTCTCTTTTCATTTACATTTTCAAGAAGAGATGTTGACATGGATACCTTGGTGATGCTTCCACCTACAACCCCTCCTTTCAGCTCAAGAACTTCGCAACCAGGCTTATTAACATCAAACGAGCGAATCACAATCATCTGTGGCGGTGAAACAAAATCTCGAACTGGAACAGATATCTTTTTCATAATATATTCACACACCACATCCATGTTGTAATTCAACTGGGCAGAAATTGGTAGTATTGGTGCATTAGATGCGACAGTTCCCTGGTTGCATTAAGGGGTAAGAAGTTTGATTACTACTATGAATCAAGAATTGGGGGCCGAGGGAAATTCAATTTTGTCTGAAATATTCACCTTTACATATTTCTGAATCGCTTGATATTGATTCCTGGCCACCTCCTCCTGAACAAGATCCACCTTATTTTGAAGAAGGATGAGATTTTGAATTTTCAGAAGATCTACTGCAGACCAATGCTCAAGTGTTTGAGGCTGGGGGAAACTCTCATTAGCAGCTATTAGGAGGAGTGATCCATCCATTACTGTTGCCCCACTGAGCATCCTAGTCATAAATATTTCATGTCCCTGTACATCGAAATTAAGATCAACAGATTAATCTGAAAAGTATGCTGCAAAGACAAAACATAGATTCAGGTCTTTGAAGTACTTACATATCCACATGTACACAATTCAGTAGCCTACGATAAGGAGTTATATTCACTTATCCATATAATGCAGGTAGATTAATTGACCATCCAGTTCTTTAAACAAGTTACTTTACAGCTTAAAAAGTGATTTATGTAGTTGAAAACTTAACACAGAATTTAGTAAAAAATTAAGATAGGTGACATGCAGAAAAATTTGAGCATCCATAACTGTGACTGCCGGGGGAAAAGTACCATGTGCTTTACTTATTCAATCTCTGTTTCCAAAATGATGAACATACCGGGCAGTCAACAAAAGAGACATGTCTCAGCAGTTTCATCTTGGATTTCTCAAAACCGGGTACATCACACGGAGGATCATCAACCATGTCACTTCCATACACCCTGCATTATGTGTTTTTTAGGTAATTAGTACAAATTTAAGAAAAGATGAACGAAACCAAACTTGAGCAGTTCAATAAACTTACTTGTAACACAGAGGCCGAGGACAGCGCTCATCTTCACATTTATATATTTTTGCATTTGCATATCCAAGTCTAACAGTAATGTTCCGCTCCAGTTCACACTTGAAACGGGTAGTCTGTAATTAGTAGAAGAGCCAAAACATGTTATTAACGAAAAAGATAGGTAAATTATGATCAAAATGTGCTGAGAAATAAAAAACCAAGCATTGTAAGTTGTAGAAAAAGTGCATGACAATTACCCTGATGCCAGAGATTGCTCTTACAACGGTCGTTTTGCCATGCGCCACATGACCAATAAGGCCTTCAAAATTTCAACACAGTCAGTTGGGATTTGGGAAGCAACAATGTATTAAAATCAAACAACTGTAGGTCTAATGAGGATTACCAATATTTATTGTTGGTTGATAAGAAATTATCTCGGGAGAGAGAGGATGCAGTTTGCTGACATCCAACTCTCCCGGATCCTGTTCCATCAGCTGTTTCGGACCCATCAACTTTGGCTCTGTAAACTTTTTCCCTGATATTTTGTTCAACTGTGGTAAACCTTATAAAACACCTTCAACAACATAACAATTAGATTGTCATGAACCAAGTCCAGCACTAGCTATGAGTTGGTAAGATAATATAAGCGCATTATGTTGCAGGCTATACATATATATTGCAACACTGACATCAATCAACACCTCATCCTATTAGCACTAAACAATATCACTGTTCAGATTTGCATGGTTTGTGACTATTGCTTTTCTGAATTTAATTTCTTTAACAATAGGATTTGGAATCTAATCTCCTTTGTTCTTTCTGACCAATAAAAAGCCTAAGATTTTTTTTTGGTTGAAGTAAAAAGCCTAAGATTCTCCAAAGTAAAACAGCAATTAGTAATGTTTATATTGTCTGAACTCTAGATTGATAGTTCAAGCAATAGACATCAACAATTTATTGGACGAATTGATATGCAATCTGCAAATTTGCACGTACATAACTGAACCATGGATTTAGGAAGAAAAACGAAAACCAAAAAAAGAATTTTAATTTCCCTTTTTGATGAGAAGCGAATTAACAGATACATATTCAGTTCCAAAAAAAAAAAAGAAAACTGAAGAGGGAAAAGACGATCAGAGTCTGTTAAAACTAAAAAACTCACCTAAAAATCGAATCGACTCCGGTCAAGATTACTTTTTGATGATGTGGGACTTCAAAGAAAGTTGCCATGGCGCTGCTGTCTGCTGAGGAAGTAAAGGAAGAGAAATTCTTTCAACAACTCAATTGGTACTCATCTTTTCTTTTTTCTTTCTCGGGTTTGTGTGGAGAAGACAAACAAGCTTGAATCTTGAAGGGTGATTAATGGGTATAGAAAAAGCGGCTGGGCAGGTTGATTGGGCTGCAAGTTACTGCTTACCTTCCAAAGTAGTCGTACCGTGGAAAGGGAGTTTCGTGTTAGACTGGGAACGGCACTTTTGATAATTAATTCCAGTTTGGTATGGAAATAGAATACCATTCTATGGCAATTTTTCAACATAAGTAGATAACGTCCCACCAGCATTCAGCCAAAACTTTCGTCGTCCTCTCACGTGCCCGGCATGTGGATTGGAAGTATCATGTTGTTCGCGCATCGCGCGTCAGCTTCCCATCTGGTTTCGCCTGCCAGTGTCCCATGTGACCGTCCGTCCTTCTCTCTGTGCGTCTGCTGCATTTGCCTTCTTCCCGCTCCCTTCTCTCTCCAACTGCATTTACTTCTCCCCACAATGTTGCTCTGCCACTTACCCGCATGCTCTGGAGCCTGCTGCAACATTTTGTTGAGCTCTGGTATTCGGTTCTCCCAAGCCCATAGCCTTCTTACCGGCCAAGGAGCTGCCACCTTCGCTGTCGGCTGCATCGGTACAGATCTTGTGCCGTTCGTTGGCCTCTCCTCCTCTTTTGTTGTAAGCTCTCTTCTTTGTCTTTTATTTTCCTTTCCAGTGAGGTCCGATCCTCTCTTCAAGTTTCCTCTGTTCATTTTTTTTCCCTGGCGTTCCTATTTTTTTCCATTGTCCGGTGACGTGCAGCTTTCTGTTTTTTTGCTCGGTCACTGTCTTCTTTCCGCCCAAGGAGGTGCCATCTTCGCTGTTGGTTGCAGCTGTCCGGATCTTCTTCCATTCGTTTGGATCTCTTCCTCTTCCTTCGGTGTAAGCTTTCTTCGTCTCGTCTTCCTGTCCAATCAGCTTCAGTCCTTGCTACAAGTTTCCTTCTTTCTTCTTTTTTTTTTTTTTTTTTTGCCTGGAATTCGTATGTTTTGACGCCATCATCGCCGACCTTCAGTCCCAGCTTCAGTCCCTCGATGCCTCCCTTTCCAACGCTTCCGACAAACTCACCCTTGCTGACCAAGAAAAGATCCGATTCTTATAACCAACCCGACCAAGTGAGCACTAATAAAAAAAAAAGGAAAGCCTGCCAGTCTATATTTTTACAATGAAAGAGAAATCCATGACCCGTATCAGTTTTCCTATGCCTCGCTCTCCCTTTTTTTCTTTTTTTGTCAATTTAATCTATATCTCAAGAAAGACATGGAAAATTAAGTTCATGCTTCTGAATATCATTGATAAGCTCTCTGTGTTCGTAGAAAATTCAGCCCAACTCTTTGTGCCCGTTTGTCTAACCTCCTTTCCTTGCTTAAGCAGGTCACTCATCATGAATATGAAGTCGAAACAGCAAATGGAAGAACAATTACAAAAAAAGGAAAACCAAAAGTACTGTAATGTTTGCGGTATGTAATTTTGATTTCTGATCAGTATGCATTGTCGTAGGGGAACGATTCTTTATGTGTATATTTCTTGGTTATGTGTAATTGTCTCTATTACTACAGGACCCAGGCAGACATAAAAAACTAGAGACACCAAAAGCTGTTACACCTAGAGCTGTTACTAAGGTAATTAAACAATGAACTAGGATAAATTTTCCTTCTCAGTGTCATCATGCTGGTTGTTTTAGCTTTTGATCTTTTGTGGAGTGTCAGTCATGTCTCACCCAACAAGAAGTAGGATTTTTGCCTATTTTTGATGAATGGGGTGTACTAGACAGGCAATAATCGTGGTCACAAAATTCTCTTACCTTGAAATGGTGTTACTCTTATTCATATCATTTAGGATTAAGTTGTGATTACTAATAGATTAATGCAATGAAACAGAGCAATTGGTTAACCTGAGCAAGGTAAAGTAGAAACAAGGAGAATTAACTGTATGTGATGAAGTTTGTCTCTGTACACTGCAAGATGCCTTGTGATTACGGTCACATATAATTTTATGTTATGTGTGCTGACATTTGTGATTGAAATTTCATGATAGGGAACAAAGGGACAAGTTCATACAAATTCATCTAATATAGGTGATCTGTTTTCAGAAGGATCTCTGAATCCTTATGCAGATGATCCCTATGCATTTGATTAGAGGTATCCCCGTTTCATGTTAGTTCTATTTGAATTGCAGTACTTTAATTAATGTGCAGTTGACCTTTCCTGTATTGGGTTAATAGTTCATGTACTCGGGTGCAAGATTTACTCCATAAACTAGACAATTATTTTTATTTTTTTTGCTACTGGAAATGGAATGGGACAGCTTTTGATTGTTAAACATTTTCCTTTTTATTAAGTATGAAGTGTTTGGGTCGACTGTGAAGAAGCCAGTGCAAAAAAAAAAAAAGGATTTGTCTACAAAAAAGGTTGCTTCTACCCACTGATTATTCTATAAGATTTATTGCATGCATTGTTTTCTATGTCCTGAGCTACATTAGACGAGGAAACTTTTTTAAACGTTTAGCTTGTTCAATATTGATCAGGTATAATGCTATGAGATCATTTTGGTAAATCTGCAGTCTGGCATGAATACTAAATGTTCAGTTGTTCTTGATACTGCTAAGGAGCTGTTTCTCTTAGTTAAGTTGTTTGTAGTATCAAATCACTGCTGCATCTGGATTTTGGCAGGAACTGTATCATGCAATAGAAGGCTTTGCAAATGGAGGATGAAACTTTTTAATTCTAGACATTTTAGCACACAAAAAATGTACATTGCAACTGTAATAATGTTCCTTCATTGATAAACAAGAATTAAATGTTTGCATGTGTCTGAAATGCGAAATTGCCTGTTTTCGTGGCTCCAAAACTCTTATCTGGAAGTTTGATTGCTATAATAACACAGAGCTCTTGTTAAAGATGTATGGCCAATATTGCATTCCCCTCTGCATCTTGATTTTTTGTGAAAAGAAATTATGTTGATTTTTCATGTCACTTTTGTTTGTGCCTCCAATCTTTTACCCCAACGGTATCGTGCCACGTGAGAAAACTAAAATCAATTGAGGGTGTCTTGTCAACATATAAGACTATTTGTATACCTTGGTTGAGGTCAGGGAATGTATGATTTCCCTAGGTGCATCGTGGATTTGTTATTAGTTATTAGTTTTTAAAAACTCTATGTATTCCTTGGTTTCCTTTTTTTTGGTGGTTAATGTTATTTTTGTTATAGAGCATGGATCTGGCTCACTTTTCATGATGATACTGGGTGTGTAAATGTTATTGCATTAGGTGTCGAAGCTGAGAAGCTGATTGGTGTTAGCGCGCTTGACATGTTTGAGGCTGCTGACGATGAGGTTATGTGTTGCTCTATTCTCATGCATAGATACCTGAACTTGGAGATTGTTCAACTATGTAGCCAGGTCATTTGGATTTGTCATTAATGAACTTTCTTTTATGCAATTTAAATGGTCTGATTTGTGTACATGGATTCTTGAATTGCCACTTTATTTCGATTCAACCTTTTTGCAGACCTTTAAGTTGTACCATCGTGTGGCTTGTCGAATTGAACTGACCAGGCTCCTATGCTATTTCAAGCGTTCATCCGATGTGATCAACAAAGTGACATGCACTAAATACGCTGTTGTTGCTTGCTACCCAGTTTAGAGAGGTTGTTTTTGGATGCTTATTTCTTGTGCTATCTTGTCAGCTCGTGAACTTCTTTGAGCTTGTAGTGGCGTCGGTATTAGTTTTGAGGCTTATATGCTATTGATACTAATAGCATTTAGTGGTTCTGTTCTTTTTAAAAAATTTTCTTTGGGATGCTTTGTTATGCTGCCAGCTCAGAGCCTTTCTTCTTGGGCTGAGTTCTTAGGCAGCAGTAGTATTTGGAATAGTGATATGTAGACTATAGACCACATGTTTGTTACTTAGACGATTCATTCACTGGACAATTACTAAACTTTGTTTTGTTTCTGCGTTTCTAAAGCCTAGATCTTTGTATAGATAGTTCTTTAGCCTTTGGAGTTTTAAGCAACAAACATTCCTTCTGTCCTAGCTGTTACTTTTGTTATTCCAACTTATTACATCTAATAAAGTCAATGTCCTTTTTATTTTCTAAATTATATACCTGCTACATATGTTTTATGGGCATCCATAATAAATTATCACCGCGCAGGGCGCGGTTCATGCCTCCTAGTCTCTATAATGCGGCTCCGTTTGGATTGCATTTTTCATGGAAAAAATTACGATAGCGATTTGATATATATGAAGAATAAAAGTAATAAAAAAATATGATCACAGAAAATGACGTAATTTTTCAACAGAAAATGACAATCCAAACGAGGTCCGTTTGTTTGGATTGCTATTATCTACCGAAAACAGTGCTAATTCTTATGTGGGTGACATGGGTATTAAATTCTTCTTTGTTTTTAAATTGTTTTCCCTTTCATTAAGCCAAAAAAAGGAATTACAAAGAAGAAGAAGAAGTAACTACTACTGATTAAGGCATGATAGGAAGATGATTATTACGAATTTAAAACAATTTTTTTTAAAAAAAAAAAAAAAAAAAAAGAGGTGCCATGAAATAATCCGATGTGTTTTGAAGTAATTTGGGCCTAAATTGTGGCCCAAACATTGAAGCCAGATTGTACATAGGTTCTGATTAAGTGGGCCAAAATTCTTGGCCCAACAATATTCCACGATGCTGATGCTTTAAATCTTGTCAATCTTTCTAATCAGGTAAGATGGAATGAGCTAATTCTATGCATGAGACACAGCCAGTTATTCTGCTACCTGTGATTCTGAAAAAAAATGCCAGTAACAGTTAGTTACAAAAAACCATAAACTCAGTTCCTAATGTTGCACCACCATTTCAGCAATTTCCATGTTACAATCTTAAAATTAATAAAAGAAAATACTAGAAAAATTGCTCCATACCCCTGTCACAACATTTCTAAGCTTTACAAGGCTGCTGGAAATGACCAAAACAGAAAAATACCAGGTTTTCCCCTTCATATAGGAAAAGAGAAACCCCTTCAGAAAAATTCTGCTGGCTTATCATCGGTAGCTTCCTCGCTAACACCATTGAGTACTTCCAAATCATCAAAACCTGTGGTAGGTTTGTCACAACGTTAACAATGCACAAAAGAAGAACCTCTTTCACCAGAAATTTTTGTAAAGGATATTCATCATTACCTACACCTAAGGCTTCAAAATCATCAGCACGCGATCCCAAGAGCATTATGTTGCCCATAGGTGGGGAAATGGTGCTCCAATCGGATATGTTTTGGTCGTCTGAATAAGCCTCCTCCTTCATAAGCCAATCCTCAGCCACTCTAGAGTTAGCATGCAAAAGGGGGTCCACTGGCTCCTGCTCTTTAATCTTCTGAGCCCTATAAGAATACATTTAGAGAGCAAGATTTATCTGGCCTCCATCCACATCTAAACTACAAAACTTTTTGACACTGATACTTAAAATCTGATTACCTTTCCTTCAGCCACCAATTGTACTGAACCAAGACAAGATCATTGAGCCTCTGATACTCCAAGCAATTTTTCGTTTCGTGCATCTGTTCAAGAGGTATGTGACTTGGCTTAGAGCCTATCAAGCTGCAAGTTTGACCAAGGATCCTGATAGCAAAGCGAGCTAAATTTGGGCATGCCCCGCCATATGTTGACCACCACTCAGCTATGGAGAGAGAGAGAGAGAGAGAGAGAGAGAGAGCAAACAGAATGAGGCTTCTTTCACAAATCCAATAGCAGGGTACTGAACAAGATAACTAATAATATTCTGAAGTATAGAAAATGGATATTATGCTGCTATTCTTGAGCTCATTTTCTGTGTATAGGATAGGTGCCATCTTCTCAAAATCTCTTAATTATCCATCTTTATGGAAAACTGTTTCAGCATCTTATTTGTCAAAGCAAGAGTGTTGCATCGAAATTTTGAGATTATGGCACAAGGCGAAATGATAGAACCCATACCAAAAAAACATGGAAAAACATATAACAGAAAACAAAACCAATGTATTCTTTAGTAAAATCTAACCTGGAAGTAATGTATCTCTAGCTCTTATTGCCATCTTCCTGCCAAAATCTCCATCACCATTCTGATACGAGATTGTCTCTTTCACAATTTTGTCCTGAGTATTAGGGTCAGGCACCAATTTCTCCACACAATCATATACATGGGATCTGATATGATGCATATCTCCTCCAGTACTATAGAAGAACTTTGGATTAAGATAGAAACCAGCAGCAAAAAGTGGGTGATGCTGAAGTTTTTCCCACCTTCGGTGTATAATGTTCCAGTAGTCATGGTAATCCTTCTGGTTAACAAGTTCTTTCTTGATTGTTTCTTTGGCTCTATAAATTCCTGCATAAACGTAACCCATTCCGGGCCTCTTCTCACTACTAACTATCCTCAAAAGTCGCAAGAATGGATCAGCTAAACGGGAAATCAAGGCACAAGTAGACCAAAATGATTCGCTACTGAAACAATCTAGGACAGCCAATCCCTCAGGTTCCCTTGAGTAAGGGCTCTCTGCCCATTCCTCTGAACTAACCATGTTTTGCAAATTCTGCTTGAGACTCACTAATCGGTTCAATGTCATGAAATCTGTTGCTGATTTCGAAACTCCTATGTCAACTAAGTCAACACCAAAAGTGTGCCGTCTCATCATATTCAAAATAACATTGTGATTGTAGATAAATCTTGTTATTGATTTGGCTTGTTCAAGGATTGCACTGATCAAGTCAAGCTTTGTAAAATCCTTAAGCATCAAACTTAGGCAATGACCAGCACAAGGAGTCCAGAAAATGGAAGGGTAAGCATCAATCAATCTCTTCCCACAAACAAAATATGGCTCTTCACCACGAGTAACAACTTGCAATACATTTCTCACACCGACTTCTTCTATCACCTTAGCAAGCAATTCGTAGAGAGCATCTACAGGATTTCTAATTTCAGAAATATCCAGAGACTTCAAAAACAAATTTCCTTCTGGACAATCAACTAAAACTTTTACCAACGTTCTGCCATTCTGTGTGACCCAATCATCAACCAAAATGGAACAACCACTCCTAGCCCAACAACCTGTGAATCTGCCAAAGTCACTTTTAACCTCTTTGACCGAATTTTTCAAAATCCAGCTACGAAGATCATTGCAAGAAGGGGTTACAACCTGTGATCCTTGCGAAGCTATGGCCTCAATCATCCTTCTAAAATAAACCGAATTTGTAGCATCAAAAGATATCCCTGCATACAACAGAAAGTGGCCAATTGCCATTTGAACCTGATTATCCACCACTTTTGAGCCAACAGCTTTATTACCATCTGCAGTCAATGTATGAGACTTATGAGGATTTATCAGAACAGAGGCCTTTCCCATTTGGCCTTTCTCTATCCTACCACCTGATCCGTTGCCCTCATGTTCTTGGTTCAGAAACACATCAGAATTCTCTTCAAGTGCATCAGTTTCAGGAAGCAAATCAATTTCATTATTTAAATCACGCCCATTAGCAAGGGTTTGGACAGCACCATTACCAGCATTATGATTGGGCATCTCAATGAAATGCTTTTGTTTCTTCTTTTTCTTCCCCACTGACCCACTTACATTTAAGCTCTCTTGCATAAGAAGGCGAACATCAGATTGTACTTCTGAGCAAACAGATCCATTGCCCGTACGACCAGCAAGATGTTCCTTAAGTCTATAAATCCCACCACCATTAAATATTTTTCCACAATATACACACTTGAGCAGAACCTTCCCCCCGTTATTAAACATTTGACAATGCTTCCAAGCTGGATCCCGCTTTAGAGAACCAATGGCTACAGGTTCCATATTAGCTGAATTCTCTTGCAGGTTTCTTCTCCTCCGTCTAGTCATTCCCCCTACACTCTGTTCACCATTAAATTCATTACTTGCTCCTTCAATATTCAGACGCTTATCGGAGTTTGTTTCAATGGTCTCTGTTAGCCGAAGCAAGTCATCAACTGTATTCAAATCATAATTATTTCGAAAACCCTCATCCTCGATGGTAATGTCATTTTGAATCAACAACTCATCCTCGGCATCAACAAACCTTTGTTTCTTCTTCCTTTTCCCCACAACCCCACTCAAATTCTCTTGCATTGCACGGCGAACATCAGGGTCAACTCTCATACAAGGAGAGCCCCCATCCCCCTTAGCACCTGCAAGATGCTCCTTAACCCTGTGAATCCCACCACCCTTAAAGATTTTCCCACAGAACACACACTTGAGCTCAACCTTCTCACCATTCTTATACATTTCACAGTAATTCCATGCAGGATCACGTTTTTGCTTTGTCCTACGTTCTGAACTGTTATTCACCTCCATTCTTGATTATTCAAGTATGCTTCCTCAAGATTGCACTATCTAGGCAGTGACAAAATCCATCACAGAAATCATAAAAATCAAAACTTTCCTACTTTCAATAATCAACTTCATACATAATCAACAATCCCAGTAAGCATGATTGAATGTTCAGATATGTCCCTCAAAGTTTAGCTATCTGGGCTGTGACAAAAACAATGAAAAAAGGTACCCAAACAAAAAAGGATCAATACCTTTTTAGCCTCAATAAACAATTATAAAAAATCACCAATAATCACAGTAACCATGCAGGGGGAAAAAAAGTCAATGCCTTTATACAATTGGGGTTGTTTTCCTACTCAAAATTCAGTAATCAGTCAATTTTTACTGTGGAGCATAACATGCAGATTAAAAAATGACATGAACATCAAAAGCTGAAAATTTGAAAAGCTTCTCAATAACTTACATGGAATTGATCTGAAACCGTTTCGGTTGATTTCTCCTTTGCAAGAAGGGGTTTGGCGGAATTGGTAGAAATTTTCTCAAACCATAAGAAACGATGATTTTGAAGAATTGACCTGGTCTGGTTGGACCGGCGTGGTTAAATACGAAACCTCCCGACTTGTGTTGGGTTGGCCGAGGTTTATTGTTTGGACTTTTTCGAGTAT